CGAGTGTACTGAGCAACAATTCGTTCTGCTTTACTTTACGGCTGCAAAACGTGGACATTAAGGGTATAGGATACTCGTAAGTTAATAGTATTTGATCACAGATGTCTTAGAAATACTGCTTGTAAAAGTTGTTACTATAGTAGCAGGATATGACCTTCGAACATGTAGCAACCTAGCCAACTAAAAAAACAAGACAAACAATTAGTGGGCAAAGGTCATACAAGAAATCGAATCGGTAGAAAGTATGCGAGCGGTTATCATTCCTGAAGAGATTTTAGCCTTTCTAATCACATTTGACTATTCTTGCGATCGTCTAGGCAGTTGGAAACTCTGAATGACATGGGTTAGAATCTATCGCAATGGCGTAGGTGTATACACTCTTTGTATTCCCTTAAACCGTGAGATTAAAATTATTTTATACCTTTCTTTCTACGAACTAATTCTTTCTCCTTATATAAAATCTTTTTTTCACTACCATTGAAGTAACTCCTTCTATGATTTAAGTGTTCATCTTGTTGCGCTTATGAGGTATGACAACTTGGACCGATGCATATATGTGCTTGGTCCAACGTTGTAATTGACTGAGTATATGAAAATAATGATTTCACTTTTCATCTCCTAACTAATTACCCGTAAATCCGATGAATAAACTCAAGAATTACTAAGTAAATGCCAAACAAAAAAATATGGTTCAATAATAAAATCTATTCATTCAAACTGCAAGGAGTAACAATCATCAAAAACATCTACCATTATTGTTTTCGTCAACTTTTGGAATACAAGTCTTGTTTTGCCAATTAATCCAAGCTCAAATTACTTTGTTGTTCAAAACAGCCTTCACCTCGTGGAACTTCGTTTGACTAAATTATGAAAAAAGCATCATTCAGGAAACTAACTTTTAAATTGTTTCTGGTTAGTAAGATTCCCAGGTTGAAACTCTTCAGCAAGTAAGACTTCAAATTGATAATTGCTGAAAATGTACTATTGCTTTCATATTTCTTCAAATTCTAAACATTTTCCAATCATACGTTATTTATCTAGTTTCAACCAAAATCCTTACTTAATTCAGTTTTATCAATTCTTGATTTGACAACCTTTTTAAATTCTACCATTCAGTAGGATAAAATCAATTCCATACTTTATTTAGCAAGACAGTCTTTACTGGTCAGTGTCAAATATACGATCTTGAACCAAGAGAAAGATCAGAAATGATCCTCTTGTTTTAATCACTTGTCAGTACACATCAGCAATCCCTGGAGTTTATGATTATCCGTAGTTTCTTCACTAGTGACAACATCACTGAATGAATTCACATTTTCTATATAACAGACAGATATGACCAATGGTTAGTGGGCATGGTACAACACAATAGTTAAATCTGAAGTGAATGATCTTGATAAATCCATCATCCTTAATATTATTAATTGAAACTTATCATGAAGCATCTTAACAGTCCTTCTTAAATGGTTGGTGATAATGATAATAATCTGCCATACATCTAACTGCATAAATTATCAAGTATATTTCAATCAACAAGGAATGCTTTTTATATTTGTGAAGGTTTCATGAAAGAATTGCTCGTTTCGTAAAAATTCGGTCCATCCTTCGTTATTTATAAAACATTTTCAACGAAAATTACTTTAAACATCATTATACAGATAATTGTAATTAAGTTAATTTTCCGTAGATTATCACAATAAATCTATTACCTGGATTTGTTATATCATTGTTTTGTTGATTATTCTAAAACAATTTTCATCATTTAAGAGTTGTTTTCTCAGACAAAACATCAATTTCCTAATTGATTTGAACCATAATCCGTTTATCAGAATGAAATGTTACATCTTTTTCTTAAGGATAAAGATTTTGCAACCCGTAAAACATAAATTTCAACTTTGAATGTATACGAATCTTATTAAATGTACATCAGTAACTTCCATATTATAATAATCAATTATGAAAGAATTTTATTTAACTTTGCGTGCAGAAAAGACCAGGCCAAATAAACTTTTTCCATTATTTCTTTGATTAATTCTATATTTTGAAAAAAAACCGATTACTTGAATGATTCGAAAAGGAAATCTTGTTATTATAAGCTAATTATGAAGGTCATTAAACATTTTAATTTGAAATAATAGCGGATAAAATAACATTTAAGCTTTTAGTTTCATTTAGTGTTCAAGTTTTAAAAAAACGGATCATTACCAGACTAGATTGTATAATTAAGATAACAACAGTATCTAGATCAATTTGAAGACTTTTAGTAACGCAACATTCTTTAAAAGAATCATTCGAAACGGTCATGCTCCTCAAAACCATAAATATTTGATAAATATCTTACTAATCGCGTTTTTTTAATGTTAGGATGTTTACCTGTCAAATCTTTCATAGGTAATTTTGTCAGGTTTTAATATGTCTTAATATAATGAAATTATGAATTCATATTATTCAACTCACTACAATTGATATTGTACAATAGGTTTCTTAGAAAGTCATTCATCTATGTTAAGGAGCTAGCTGATAAGAATACTTAATTTATAACATATTTTAGAGTTTTAAGTGGGACAATCGGATTTAATACTCTGCTGTTGGATAAAACTACTCTTGATAGTGTCGTTTTCAGTGAGTTGGATGGCATATTTATGTGAGTTTCACTGTCGTTCTAGATAACATCATGAAATCCTACCGTTGATTTAAATAATCTTTGTTTAAATTTTATATTGGTTGAATGAAAAAATTCACATTTTTATTGTCATCAAACTATTTCTCTTTCAACTGTGATCATGAACCGATTGATGTCAGACCGCCGTTGAAAACCTGGAAGCACTAGACAACCGTTTCGTCCTATTGTGGGACTCCTCAGCAGTGCAACTTCACGATTCCGCTCTCAGAATTCGAACCCAGGGTCTTCGGTCTAGCACTAATCAGTTCATGATCGCAATCAAAAAACGTGATAATCTCCACAACTCTATACTGATTATTACCATGTGCTCACTAATGACTAGCTTCGTGAGGGAATTTTCGGAGTTCTAGTGAGAAGCAGTTACCAATGGATCTAATCCATGTCGGGTAGAGACAGATATCTACCTTAGTACAATGGAAGATGGTCGCGCAATTTTGTGGATTGCTTAAGGTTAGACATTAACACCATTGGATGCCGTCTCAGTGGTCTAGAGGTCAAGTGTTCGCGCTCAAGACTGAAGACCCTGAGTTCGAATCCCACGAGCAGGATCGTTGATGCGCACTACTGAGGAGTCCCCCAATAGGGCGAAACGGCCGTCTAGTGCTTCCAGGTTTTCAATGGAAATCTAGCATTAATCGGTTCATGATCTCAAACAATAACTTAATAATCTCCACAACCTCATACTGATTATTCCGCTTTCGTTCAGTTTGTTAAAGTGAGAGCTATTTCGTTTATAATGTACAAATATGAAGTTGTACAACATACCTATCGATTATAGAATATCACTATGAAAGTTAAATATATTATATTGTTATATCAAACAGTTTTAAGTAAATATGATATTATCTTTACATCTACATAATACATAAAATGTAATCACTGCGCTTTGGTAGTAAAGCAATATAGCAAAATGAATTTTAACTTGTTTCAAACATTAAGGTAACAATTAATAATAACATTTATTATATCATAAAACGAAAAGGATTAAGATTGTCTCTCTTGCTGACCATTTTGACTGGATTTCGATCAGCTATTGGTGACACGTAAGTACTTTCACTTTGTAGCTGCAATGTTACAAGTTGTTTAGAAAATGTTTTTGGTTGGTAATTAAATTAAAGATGTGCATTCTACCCTACTTACAATTTGTTAGTTGAATTTACCTGAATCCTGACAATGATTTGCTTACTGTGTTAATTATTCGTTTTGGATCCTACTGCTAGCTACAATCCATATATTCTAAGTAGTAAAATTACTTTTAAAACACGTTTACTAAGTAAACATTTTTGAATTATTTTACTTAATGTATCATTAAATCAGCAGGAAATGATCTTATTCTCTGACTAAATGAAACCAATATTAGTTCCTGTCTACTTTATTCATATTTAAATCAGGAAATCAGAAATTAATGAACTTGTTCTAATAAAAATAATATTTAAATAAAATCTATTAATTTATTATTGACATGTAAAAATAGTTTATAATCATTGTGAATAAAACGATTCAAAAACAAAATGATTAGTTTATACAATATGTTTAAGCAAAGATGAATAGTGACTAGCAGTGGAATCCAGGATTCGCGTTTCGTCCTATTTCAGACTCGTAAACTGAATGTACCTGCATCACAGAGCTGATGTTCACTCCGGCACTCGAATCCATCACGCCATCACGTTATCCACTTAACTACTGAATCCCGATAGCCACCTGTTTGTGCAATGGGGTGAAGTTTAAATTCGCTTGATTTTGTTTTACTTGCATCTTCCCATTGTTATTTAGAACTGCAATTGATCAGTTTCATGTTGACATATGTGCATCCTGTGCGAATTGCCTCTATATAACCTTAAATCACAAGCTTTTTAAGCAAAGATGGATAGTGACTAGAAGTGAAATCCAGGATGCGCGTTTAGTTGGCAATATTCTGTTTGTAATACATTTAGATAGTGTGTATCTTAAAAGTCATTTGGATTTAGGCTCGTAAAACACTGAAATAAATGTATTCACTCGAAAAAAGAAAGTTGTACACTTAACATAGTCAATTTACCATTAGGGCAACATGTATCATATAATTCTCATTATTATTATTATTCTACAATTAGTGTTTAAATCTTGTGACTTTATTTAAGTTATAAATTAGTCCTCGATGTGGCTAGATAAATAATGATAGATTTCAGCTTCATTTACGCATTTTAAGTGAACACTAAATGTGACCAAGATGGGATTGAAAGTAGAAGTTGAGACATGAAAACTTTGTTCTTCAGAACTAACGTCCAAGAACTGATTTAACTGTAATTAAATCTGAATATTGTGTCTTTAATTGCGCCTAATATTCAGTATGTAATTTCATGAGAAGCATTAAGTTGAAATTTTTGTTCACGAATTTATAGATCGTCAATGAGTTCTTGCGATCGGCCTACCACATTTAGCCATTCAACATCAAGAAGAAATTCAAATCTAAAATCAAAATGATATTTTTGATCACAAAATTGGCTATTTTTACATGGGGTTATGATAAACATTGAGGGAAAACAATGAGAAAAAACTCAAATACTTGACTGAGTGATAAAGACACATTAATTTCAGTTTAGGCTAACACATTTTATTTAATTCTGATGATTTAACTTATTTGCAACCCCAACTACACAGAATTAGTAAATAGGTTAATGTAAATTGATTAAGATTAACCTAAATTTTACTCAGATGAAGTCATTCTTAGAATCATGCTTATTGGAATTTTCTACATACTGCTCACATATTAATGTGACTTGATTCCTTTTTAAAAAAGTAGATATCAGTTTATGGAGTATAGGAAATCAATGTAAATTAAACAATCATGTCAATACCCCTGGATATATTTTAGCCACCTTCAGTTTGCTACTGAACAATTAATTGAATGGAACTCATCACTATACATCAACTTCTATGACTATGGGAAAGCATTTGACAGTGTGGATGGGAGAACATTATGGAAACTTCTTCGACATTATGGTGCGAAAATGGTCAATATCATAGGGAATTCATACGACGGACTACACTGCAAAGTCGTGTATAGAGGGCAGCTGATAGACGCATTTCAAGTGAGGACCAGAGTCAGACAAGGCTGCTTACTCTCCCATTTTCTATTCCTTCTGGTGATTGTCTGCATTATGGAGACCTCTACATCTCAGGGGAAGCACATAAATACAATGGATACACACACATACATAAGGGAAAAACAGAGATCCTCAAATAAAACACGGAAAACACCAATTCAATCACACTTGATGGAGAAACTCTGAAAGAGGTGGAAACTTTCACATACCTGAACAGCATCATCGACGAACAAGGAGGATCTGATACAGATGTAGAGGCGAGGACTGGCAAAGCAAGGGCCACATTCCTACAATTGAAGAACATATGGAACTCAAAACAACCTTGTCAATCACTTGGCATATACCACCTGAATATTACAATTTTCTAAAAATAAATCGAATGACATTATGCTTAAAACGATTTGTGAAAAATGGATAGTATTTCCTCTTTCAGGCTAACTACTGATCAGGTAAGTTAGTAATAACAACAACAAAATGAATTGAACAAGACCAAAACAAAAGGAGTATGTTCATGATTTACTTACCGGTATCTTACAAGTTGTTCATTCGTTCGTTCATCCATTCTTTCACTCACCAGTTCATTAATATACATAAGTGCAGATCACCTCTAAATATATGTATATATATTCAATATATGTAATCGAAAAACAAGAAAGGAATTAGATTAACAAAATCTGTCATTTCTTTTCTTTGATAAATACATACACGACTATGTTCATATATGTTTACACAAGCATAAATTGTATTTATTTCCTAGAAATCATTAAGATTAAGTAACAACATAGTTTAACATTTCCTGATCCTTAATATATGTGAACGACTACACTTGACACAATAAAATAGAGTGAATGGATTTCTTTTTCAACCCCAAAAAAAATCTGTCATCCACAGGAAATGTAATCATTTTAAGTACCCTCGTTCTCTAACCTTCAATCTTGCTCACCTGCTCGTGTATGTACTCATGTACGTAAATAGACACACTTATAAACTATCTGCCTATTCTCGAATACATAGAACTTGAATGTAAACTGATCACTACCTAAAAAACTTGTTATTTTATTATATTTCGCATTTAAAACTGTAGTCTAGTTAATAAATGAATTAACGAATAATCGTTCAAACAGATTACTAACAAAATAATTAGTATTATTTTCTTGTCAAATAAATTATTTGTGGAGCTGATGAGTCTAGAAAGTTAATAAAGTTGACTTGACAATACCTTTCGATTATTACGATTCAGATTTTTTCTATTTATTTCTTATGGGATTTTGACTCATCCTATTACAACAGGATAAAATGTAAGGTCACATCGTAACATTTATTCAGCATAATACAACTACTTCAGTGTGATATTCAGAATAAGGTTATTTTATATCAATTTAGTGTGATATTTCTTCAGTATAGCATACAGCATTTGTTTTACACTGATTCAAAATAATATTTTCTTTAGTCTTTACATTATTTTCAGTTATGTATGATATTCTTTGGTTAATTATCAAAATGTCAGCAAACTATGCACATAAATGGGTGTGTTTGGTTAAATGGTTGTTGTCATGTTTTCGAAAAGTGAATAAAACCTTCATCCGTTATAGATTTTTATCATGATCTTTAGGTTGTGCAAATCCGCTTTCTCAGTTATAACACAACTAAATGCTTTGTATATTTTACTGTACAAATAAAGCAATGTGTCAAGAAGTTAATTTTCATCACGAAATTAGTTAAGCTAATTAAGAATTACAACTTTCGGTTTTAGGATATAGTAAAGTTTTCACAGATTACATCATGTATTGATCTAATTTAGATTGCCACTAAAAATCAGAGAAAACTGGACATGTCTTGTTCTTGTGTGGGAATTCTCGGCAGCACTCATCTACGAACCCAATGGAGATCAAATACAGGACATCGACCACTGAAATAGTACCACATCTAGAGGATGAGTGCTCGTACGCGAGGTACTCAATGAGTTCCTAAAGGTTAATGCTCAACTAACAGAATCGAAAAGTTTGTTGGAATTTATCAATGATCATATACAGACCGACAGATATCCTAAAACACACTAGAAATCTTTACTCCGGAAAAAAAGTCTATCCTAATTCTAGAACCCTTAAACGACAGGCACTCAACAAGATGGACCAGTCAAAAATGCACATAATCCATATGAAAAGGAATCTTTTTCAGGGGAAATCTATTGTCGATAACCTACCACCAGGAAAAGTCATAATTCATGGATTATATTGACATGATAGAATAAAGTAAACCTGAGCAATTAGGCACAAAACTAGAGAAATCACTCGAACGTCGAAAATCAGAAAGAAGGTTCCCTATGGACCCATAGCGGTACGTCCCTAATTTTTCCAATGCTACGTTAGATATAGTGCAAATAGAGGCTTCTTCGCTAAGCCCTAGATTCTGAGACGATGGAATTAAGATAAATCAACTAGATACCGATATGCAATTTGAGAATTTATTTTCACAAACAATAGATTAGGTCCCAATCTTATTTGATGGACTTACTATATTTAAGACCACGTTGGTTGACATCTGTTAACAATACAAAAATGATAAATATACCATACCTTGAAATCCCCACTTACCAAACAGCATCGAGATGCTTTACATAAGCTTAGAAGAGATAACACTCTGACCATAAGCAAGGGAGAAAAACGAGGGGGGGGCTAATTTTAATGAACAAAACTGATTATATCGTTAAAATGAACTCAATTTCGAATGATTCGAGTAAATTTCAGAAACTCAATAACATTAATGATATAATATAATTGCAGAGAAACTACTGACAAATTCGCTTAAAGAATTGGGAAGTGGATAATTGCTTTAACTATTTACTATTCACTTAAACCTACTGGATTGAGCACACCACAACATCCTAGATCCTCTACACAAACCAGCCATCAACACAAGCGTTAAAGACGTTTTCGATTTCATTTCCAAGGTGGAACATATGAACTTAAATGGGGGATTGATGATATTGCTAGATGTTCTTTCCTTTTTTACCAATGTATCATAAACTAAGACAATTGACTTTGTCATTAACTACTAGAAAAATAGATCAATATTGGGATCTTCGAGGTTAGTCTCAAAGAATTACTTATGAAGTGTACAATCAATGTTCATTTTGTCATTAATAACACATATTATAGACAAATTAATCTAATACCGATGGGCTCACCTCTAGGTTATTGATACGCTTAACTTTTATCGCGTTACATTATCATCGATCAGAACATAAGAAAAGAAGAACTCTTAGAGCTATTTAACAATAAACATTCCGAAAACAGATTTGCATGTGAAAAGGAACTTTATAACGAACTACGTTCCCTCTATGTTTTGTTAAACAGAAAAGAAAGTTATTTTATCAGTAAAAGCGTATATAAGAAAAGTTCTTCAGCAAGTTAGTACACACATTTCTTGAGCTTTGTACCCATTCGTTATAAGAGAAACTATAATGTTTGAAAGTATTTGAATTATCGTATGAACTAGGAGTCCCAGAAATAACGCAATCGAATTAACAAGTACTAGACAAGCACTAACGGATGTATTGTATCTAGAATTCGAAATCAGGTATTCAACAAGTACAAAAGAATCATTAGTTAATTCAAACACCACAGAAACCTAGTTAAATGTCTTGCTAATAGAGCTAGAAAGATATGCTCAGACGACATTATAAACAAGGAACTAGAGGTTGTTTATAATATATTGATTGAAGTGGGTTATTCACAAGGTTTTCTCAAGAAACACCTGCTTGTAATGAATAGGAAAATAGCGACATTAGTGGTTGATAAGAAACCTCTCATTCTGAAGTTACGATTCAACGGAGATATATATGGTGATAAACTACGAGACAGACTGACTAAAGTGATGAAAAGAAAGTTTAAAGCAACTAACCTGTCTATCGTTCTCGAGCCGACCCGTAGTAATTCCCCAGCTAAAGGATAAGTTGCCTATATGTATCTACAAATTCAGCTGCTCCTGTGGAGAAAAATATATTAAGCGCACAACTAGACAACTGAGCCAACGGAGTTAGAGGACACCTCCTTTCGTGATTAGGGAAAAGGATAGTCAATCATGAAGCGATCAACGTTAGACCACCACTGAAAACCCGTAAGCACTAAACGGCCGTTTCGTTCTAGTATGGGACTCCTCAGTAGTGCTCATCCACGATACTGCACGCGGAATTCTTTCACTTTTTACTTATTAGATTTATTTAGTTTATCCCATTTTTATCACATATTCAGCAAATGCCTTGATTTGTATAATAATTCCACATATGCATACAAATATCATTGTATACTAGAGTTAAGCCTAATGAGGATCTAACTGAAAACAATATTGTTCACTTATATATGTTTTAATTCACAATATGGGAGTTTTGAGATCACTCACCTTGTGTCCTGCAATTTTTACGATAGCTTTGAGCGTGGAAACTTACAAGTTGATGTTAACTGGAACCAGTTGTCACCAAATATATTTTGTTCGTTTCAAGCTTCCACCGGTGTGTGCAAACAACCTCACATCGAATTGAATTTAGGACTTTCAGATCTTGTACAACACGATTCATCAACTTAGTCGAAATACAGCTGTTTGGATATTCAACTTAAGCTGCTCCGATTTTGATCATAATTGTTATATGATTTTATTCTTGAAATACTGTCATATTTTCACTTTACAAATAAAATAATCACACTGGAACTTTAAGATATTCACCTTGAAGTTATTCGCTAGTAAGTAAACAGTCACTATTACTCAGATAAATTTTCTCCGGTAATTCCGTATCATTCAAATTAATTTATAGCCAATAATACCGTGAAGAAGTTAGCTGGTTAAAGTGAAATATTCGTTTATTGAATAAAACCCTCAGTATTCAATTTATGAAAAATCCAAAATAAAATAAACATCCTTTATATGACACATCAATTACCATAGTCAAGTTTTTATATGGCATCCTTTGAATATACATAAACTATGAAAGATGTTTTTGGTCCCAATATTAAATCCACTATAGGCCTAATCAACCATAATGCCAATTACTACAACTGTGAAACATATTTTTAAGATCAACAAATGATTAGAGTCGTACTTACTTGCTTACTTACGCCTGTTACTCCCCGTGAAGGAGCATAGGCCACTCACCAGCATTCTCCATCTAACCCTGTCCTAGGCAATACTTTCTAGCTCCTTCCAGTTCCTATTCATCCTTTTCATATCTGCTTCTATTATTCGACGTAATGTGTTCTTTGGCCTTGCTCTTTCCGCTTCCCTTCAAGATTCTAAGTCAGGGCTTGCCTCGTGATGCAGTTTGATGATTTGCGTAATGTATGTCCTATCCATTTCCATCGTCTCTTCCTAATTTCTTCTTCAGCTGGAAGCTGGTGATTAGAATCTACTAAATTTTAATCACTAATACTTTGTCAGAAGTTTATTTAACAAGCATACGATCATCATTAATCAAAATAGTTTTTTTCAATTTTTTCCAAGTTTTTAAACCCATTTTAATTAGAAACTAATATCAGTTACAAAATCTTTGAAAAAAATCAATGACTGTTAGACAGCTGTTTCTTCATATTCTGAATGATAATAGTTATGTATTATCTATTCCTTTATTTTACAAAACTGCAACAAAATGTATGAAATGACAATATTCACAATAAACAATTACGAAATTATACA